TTGGGATTTTCCATATATAAAATCATATCATCTGCAAATAATGATAGTTTCTCCTCTTCCTTCCCCAGACGAATACCTTTGATGTCTCTTCTTTGACTTATGCTGTTGGCTAAAACCTCCAACACGATATTAAATAAGAGTGGGGACAAGGAGCATCCTTCTCTGATCCCCTTTTTCACTGGGATTGTGTTAGTCCTTTCTCCACTGACTACCACGTTGGCTGTTGGTTTTTCATATATAGCTTGTATTGTCTTGAGGAATTTTCCTTCCATTCCTATCTTCTCAAGTGTCTTAAACAGGAATTGGTGTTGGTTGTTGTTGAATGCTTTTTCTGCATCTATTGATATTATCATGTGGTTCTTATAGTTTTTCATGTCAATGTGATGAATAATACTAATGGTCTTTCATATGTTGAACATCCCTGCATCCCTGGTATGAATCCCACTTGGTCATGGTGAATTATTTGTTTTATATACTTTTGTATTCTGTTGGCTAGTATTTTGTTAAGGATTTTTGCATCGATGTTCATTAGGGATATTGGTCTGTAGTTCTCGATTCTTGTGGGATACTTACCCGGTTTTGGTATCAGAATTATACTAGCTTCATAGAAGAAGTTCGGGAGTTTACCATCTTTTTTTATGCTCTGGAAGAGTTTGTGTAGGATTGATGTTAGTTCTTCCCTAAATGCTTGGTAGAATTCTCCAGTGAAGCCATCTGGTCCAGGGGATTTTTTTGTTGGTAATCCCTTGATAACCTTGTCTATTTCTGCTATTGCTATGGGTCTGTTGAGATTCTTGATGCCCACCGAGGATAGTCTAGGGAGGGATAGTTTTTCCAAGAATTTGTCCATGTCTTCCAAATTGTTGAATTCATTGGAGTACAATCCTTCGTAGTACTGTGTAACTATCCTTTTGATTTCATTAGGGTCTGTTGTAATGTCCACTCTTTCATCCCTTATTCTTGCTATTGAAATTTGTTCCCTCCTTTCTTTGGTTAGGTTTGTCAGCGGTCTATCGATTCTGTTTATCCTTTCAAAGAACCAACTTTTAGCAGCATTAATTTTTCCCATTGTTTTCTTATTCTCCCTCTCCTGAATCTCAGCCCTGATTTTAACTATTTATTTTCTTTTGCTATTAGGATTGTCCTGCTGACTCTGCTCTAGTTGTTGTAAATTTTGTGCCAGCATATCAATCATGAGTCTCTCTTCCTTTCTCAGGTGTGCATGTATTGCAAACTTCCTAATGACTGCCTTTGCTGTGTCCCATAAGTTTTGGTTCGTCGTGTGTTCATTCTCATTGGTTTCTAGAAATTTTCTAATTTCATCTCTGATCTGCGCCAGTACGCACTCCTTTTGCAGTAGACAGTTATTCATCCTCCAATTGCTTGCTCTTGTTTTCTTTGTCTTCCTTTTGTTGATTTCCAGTCTTATGACACAGTGGTCAGAAGAGAGATCTGTATGATATCAATGTGCTTACATTTATGTAGATTCGCCTTATGCCTCAGCATGTGGTCTGTCTTCAAATATGTGCCATGTGGGCTTGAGAAGAATGTGAAGTTTTTTGTATTTGGATGAAAAACTCTGTAAATATCTATCAGGTCAATTGTCTAATTGTGGTATTTAGATCTCTAGCCTCTTTGTTGAGTTTCTTTCCCTGTGATCTATCTTTCTCAGAGAGTGGTGTGTTGAAGTCACCCACTATAATTGTTAAGGCTGTGATTTCTTTTTTAATCTTTTGGAGTGTTTGGTTAATGTAGTCAGCGGGTCTCTCATTTGGGGGAATATATGTTTACAATGCTTAGTGGGTTTTTGTCTACCATTCCCTTTAGCATTATATAGTGTCCCTCCTTATCTCTTTTTATGGTTTGCACTTTGAGGTCAATTTTTTTTCCGAGATTAGGATTGAAACCCCTGCTTTTTTTGAATTGCTGTTTGCTTGGTATTACTTTCTTCAGCCTATTTTTGTCTGTAGGCTTGAGATGTGTCTCCTGGAGGCAGCAGATTGATGGGTTGTGTTTTTAAACTAGTCTGTCTTTTAATGCCTGCGTTCAGGCCATTGATATTCAGGGTTATTATCTTCATCTGTGGACTCTGATGTCATCTTACACCTTTTGTGTTGGGTGTTTTCCTACTTATTAGTGTGTTGTGCATGTGAGTGTGCGTGTATCATTCTTGACTTCTTTCCATCCTTAAGCTAATGCTATCTTGGGGTCTGTTTTTTTCTTTGTTGCCCTCTGGGTGAGGTTGTTCTATGTGGTTGTCTCTTATTTATGCTTGGTGAGTGTTGTTCTGCCCATACTGAGTGGGCGAGGATCTTTTGTAGGGCTAGGTTTCTTCTAATGTATTCTTGGAGTTTTTCCTTGTCTGGGAAGACTCTTACTTCTCCATCTATCTTGATCAATAATTTGGCTGGGTATTCTTGGGTTTGCATTGTTTTCCTTCAATTTTTGGAATGTTACTCCACTCTCTACTCTTCTTCATAGTTTCTGCTGATAGGTCTGAGCATATTCTTATTTGGGAACCTTTATATGTGATTGCTTGCTTTTCCCTAGCTGCTCTCATGATTTTCTCCTTGTCCTCAAAGTTGGATAGTTTAACTATTATGTGCCTTGGTGACTTCTTGGGATTCAGTCTAGCTGGTGTTTTCAGCCTCCTGAATGGTTGCCTGGTTTTCATTCATTAAGCTGGGGAAGTTTTCTTCCAAGAATTCTCACTATTGTTGCAGATGACTTCTTTTTTGTGTCTTCCTCCGGTAAGCCAATAATTTTAATGTTGTTCTACTTCATTGCATCAGTCATAGCTCTTAGGTTTTCTCTGATAATCTTATTAGATTTTTGTTTGTGTTTGTTAAAGTCTGCTTGGCTGTCCTCCAAGTCACTAATGCGGTTCTCTGATTCCTCCAGTCAATTGTTGATGTCTGTGTTTCTGCTACTAGTTTTTGTTATCTCCTCCTGAAGCTCCTGTATTTCCCTTTGGTGTATGCCCTTTATCTCCTCTATCATTTCATCCTTTTTCTGTATGGTTTTCCTCATATCCTGTATGACTCCAAGCAGCATTCTGAAAATTTCTTTCTGTGGCAGCTCAATGTCTGCTTCTTCTATGGATGTTATGTTCGGGACATCTTCTGCCATTGCCTTTTGTTTCTCTTAAAAACATTTTTAATGTTGTTTCTTATTTAAATTATATTATTTAACTCTGAACTTATTTACTTTGAAATTTCTGTGTAATGTTTTATATAAAAAGGCAAGGTTAGGGTAAAACTTAGTAGTCGAGAACAGATTAATCGTTCAGTTATTTCTTATGGGAAAATTTGATTCAGAAATCGACTGCATCTCATCTCCACGCTCCTTCTAAAACAGATTACTGTGGAGGTCGGGGGTTCTGCTGTATCAGGGAGAGTGTGTTAGATTAGGTATTAGGGGAGTGATCACAAAGTGGAGGAGGAAATGTTAGGAGAAGAAGAGAGAAAGGAGCAGTAGATTAAAAAAAAAAAATCAGGTAGTGTTATTTGGTCGGTTAAAGGAAGGGAGACTTGGGCCCCCAAAATGCCTGATTTGCAATGATGGAGGAATGGGCACTTTGGTAGAAAAAAGTTTTTTTAATGTAATAGTGTCAGCTTTGAGTTTTATGAGGATGAGAAGGAAAGAAAAGGTTTGATGAGAAAAATGAATCTAAAAGGTTATAGTTTTATGAAGTAAAACTTTAGATATTTAAAGAAAGGAAAATTAAAGGGGCAAGAGGTGAACATTTTAAGGATAATAAAAAAAACTAGTAAGAGGCAGGAGAGCTGTTAATGTATGTTTGGACTCTAAACTTTGCTCATGATCTTGTAAACCTGCTTCTCCTTGTTTTGTTATGCTAATACTTTTTTAAAACTTCTCTGGAATTCATTAACAAAGAAAGCCCTAGCATGGCCATGTTTTTTAAGGTCCTGGACTTTTTTGGGTGTCTTGGGATGGGGAGGGTTGTGCTGAGCTGTACTTCAGGGATGTGGGACTAGATTTGCCTGGTGAGGCTGGAGCTCCTGGTCATGTGTTCTCACACCTGTTCTCGGCTGCCACCCACCCACCCCACTGCCGACCTCCCCTTTGCAGCTTGGTAGGTTGTGATGGCCCACTCTTGGGCAGCCAGGACTCTGGGTTATTCAGCAGGGATTTTCTAGCCTGAGCAGAGCGCCAAACTATATTTGTATCCACCCCAGGCCGGTCCCTTAGAGTGACGTTCCTGCAGCTCCACAGCTCTCTCACTCACTCACTCACAGATCCACACACCTGGGACTCTGCACTCCACTGGCCTCAGGGAGATGCCACAGGGAGATGCTAATCGGCAGATGTTGCTGCTCTCTAGTGTTTGCTTATCTTTAAGCCGAGAATCCTGTGGTCTGGGATTGTAGGATATCCCGCTCAGTGGCTCCTTTACACTGTTCTCCAGAGCCCCCCTGCCCTGTATGCTACTCAGTAGCCATCTTGCCCACAAAGGAGACATAAATGTAACTTTTTTCTAAATTAAAAGATCATTTTGTTGGGGACTCTCCCAGCTCTTGCAACAATCCATACATCAATTGTATGAAGCACATTTGTACATGTTGCCATCATTTTCTAAACATTTACTTTCTACTGAGCCCTTGGTATCAGCCCCTCCCCCCCTTGTGGCCCCTTGATAAATTATAAATTCTTTTTTAAATTTTTCATATCTTATACCAACTGCTGTCTCCTTTCTCTCATGGTTTCTGTTGTCCGTTCCCCAGGAGGGAAGGTGTGGTTATGTGTCCATCACTGAGAACTGTTCTGGTATCACTGTTCCCATTCGGGTTCCTGGAGCCCATGTGTTGGGAGCTCTTATCTGTGTGCATACCGTGGTCACAACCCTTAGAGGAGCAAAAGCCTCATCCGTGACCAGCGAGTGACTGGTGGGCAGGAGCCCCACTCCCACATGCTCCCCGCCAGGGTTCCTTTGCTACGTCACGTACATGAAATTATATTTGAGAATTTTCTGTAAACAGGCCCTGAAGCCCAATGTAAATATCTCCAGCCTTAAGAAGTGGGATTACTACATCGAGGAGACCCTGTCCATGGGCCCTTCCTACGACTGGATGATGCTGACCCCTAAGCACTTCCCTTCTGAGGACGCTGAGCCCAGCAGAGGAGCTGGTCCCCAGAGCCGGAGAAGAACAGTGTGGCCCTGCTACGATGATGTCAGCAGTGCACAGCCTGACGCGCTCACCAACCTGTTCAGCGTAAGTCAACCCTCCAGGGCTCTGGCATCGCTCCATGTGTCTTGTCAGAAGAAATGTCTCGCAGGGAGTGAGCATGTGTCCTGTTTCCAGTGAGCTATTTATCTCCATGTGCCTCCAACTGAGGTCATCAAGCTGTGACCTGGTTAACAGGCCAAGCTCCACCCCTTCATTCTTAAATCTCAAATTGACACCAGATTAAGTAACTACCACACATCCCCTCAGATTGCCAGCTTCCCCGTAAGAAGGAATGTCCACTTCCTTGGTCATTGTTTGGCTCCTTCTTTGCACACCTGGCTTGAGCCACCAGAGCTGAAGGGCTCCTCTGTCAAAGAGACTTCTCATCCACCTCAGTTAGGAGTTGAACATGGGCCCCAGCCCTTCTTTCACGGGCCCTCCGTTTTCCTGAGGCTGAGCACATCTTTCATGGGGGTCGTTCCGTAAGAAAGGGCCCATGGCTCTGCTCTAGAGAAGCACGGTTGAGCCGCAGTGCCTCACCCCAGCTGGAGTCCCCACACGGTGGTGCCTGGAGGTTGCCGAGGCCTCATCACTGCTCCTTGGGCTGCTCTCAGCCTGGTGCAGAGGAGCTGTAGCTCCGGGTCACGACCTGATTTCCAGGATCCGTCAGAAAACTCCTTTCCTCTGCTCTGCAGGAAATTGAACGATTGGAATATAAATTGAACCAAACCCCTGAGAAGTGGCAGCAGCTGTGGGAAAGGGTGAAAGTGGACCTGAAAGAAGAGCCCAGAGCAGACCGTGTGAGTTGCCAACGCCCGGGAAGAGCTGCTTCTGAGCCGCTGGAGGGGATGAGCCAGCCCCTTCCACAGATGACAAGACCCGGGTGCTGATGCCCTGACGGTAGCTTGGGAGGGGAAAGGTCTTGCCCTGGAGGAAAGGATGGGGGGCAGAACAGTACGTTCCAAATGACTAAGTATTTCCCAAGTGTCTCACTACCACAGTGACATAATACTTATGTCTCAGGGTCCCATATTCAGGGAAATTACTGGGTTCTCTTCTGTATCTGCAGCTTCAGCAGATCTTCCACCACGTGAGGGAGCAGAGGGAAACAAAACCACATTAGCTGCAGGGAAAAATAACCAAGGAGGTTGGGATATTTTAAAAGAACAAAGGTGCTTTCTGCGCCTCGCACCCCGTTTTCTGTTTCTGGCTTCAGAAACATTTCCCATGCCTGCACGGTGTGTGTGAGACTGTTCTCAGAACATGCCCACAATAGCCTCCTGTCTGCGTGGGAGCCGTTCTTGCCAGCTGGCGAGAGGCAGGTACGTCTAGAGCGGCCGCAGGCCTTCGGGAGCCATGCTGCAGTGCGGCTTTTTTTTTTTTGCTCTCAGGAAAATAAAACAGCTTATTACATTTTCCTGATCATAGAAGAACATGGAAATTGCTCACAATTGCTGACGCCTATGGTGTCAACCTTGTTTACTCCATCCACAATTTTACACGAAAGGGATTTAGTGTGCATTGACACATGGTACTCCTCTCATCCCTCCTGTCACTGTGCGCACACCTGCATATTTTGGGGTGTCTAGCAGAAGTCCACTGTCTGGAATCCCATAATCCTTTTACCAACCCCCTAATGGACATTCAGAATTCCCATTTGGGGGAAATTGTTTTTAATACTAAACTCCAGCACAGACACCTTTGTATAGACATCTTTGCTCCCTGGAGAGAAGTTTCAAGCAATGAAATTACAGGTGTCTGTTCCTTAGAAGTCTTGAGGAAGCTTTTCCAGCTCTTCCTTTTTCCAGGCCCAGAGACGCACTGCCGGCTCCCCAGGAATTGTGTCTACCAACCTCCCCTCCTATCAGAAGCGGGCTTTGCTGCACCTCCCAGACAGCAGCGGGGCAGAGGAGCAGAACACCAGCATCCCGCCGTCCAATGGGGTGGACCGGAGAGCGGCCACACTGTACAGCCAGTACACCTCCAAGCATGATGAAAACAGGTGACAGGGGCCCGCCCGAGGCGGTGAGCCCACGCTTACAGTGGGGTTTGCTGTCGGTTCTAACTTGTTGCCCCCCTTGGTTTTTATTTTGGGGTGACATTCATTCCCTTGTTTTCACGGCTCTCAATGGCTCTGAAGAGGAGAGGAGAAAAAAATCAAAATTAAACTAAAACTAATGCCCCGAGGCCGGAGCTGCTTGCCCTGACTGTCATTCTCTTGTCTGCAGAGCTCTTGAGGAAGTGTGCATTAGCACTTTTTAATTCTTCCCCTTGTAGTCGCAGACAGCAGAAATCTAGCGCATGCTCTCCGACACTAAAGAAACTTAGTTCCGTAAACTGGGGTGGCAGCAGCATGCTATGCTCTGGCTTCTCCTGACTCCATTTCCCCCCAATCAGCCACAAAAGATGGCTGCTGGTCCCTCCAGACCTCGAAAGTTTGGTCATCTCAGCAGAGAGGTCATCTTTTCCCAAAAGTCCAACAGAGCAAGCCCAGAGAGTGCTGGTGGGCTTTGCTTGTGTTGCTGGGAGGAAAAAAGGGCAAACAAAAGCAGCTCTTTCAAGAGAAGAATGAAGTGGACTGTCCTGTCCTCCTTTGACTTGTTCCAGGTCCTTTGAGGGGACTCTCTACAAAAGAGGAGCTTTGCTGAAAGGCTGGAAGCCCAGATGGTTCGTTTTGGACGTAACAAAGCATCAGGTAATACTGTGAGGACCAAAGGATGCCTTCCCCAGAGGCTCCTCTCGAACCTCCTGGATCCCGACTGACCCTCAGCAGACAGCCCGCGTCTCACGCACAGAGGGTTGTCCTAAGGCTTGTGGCAGGTACCCTGGAAGTAGCCTTCTGAGAAAAGTCCCAAAGTGGCTCCACCTTGCTCCTGTGGGCAGAGGCAGTGCCTTTGGGCCCGGCTTTTCAGAGCCAACCCAATAAAACAAACGTGCTGCTGTATAGCAACCCTATAGGACTACGTAGAACGGCCCAGTGGGCTTCTAAGGCTGGCAGTCTGTATGGGAGCAGAAAGCCTCGTCTTTCTCCTGCTGCTTGGCCAGTGGGTTTCAACTGCCGACCTTGAGGCTAGCCCAGTGCATAACCACTGTGCCCCCTGGCTCCTTTCAGAAACACAGAACGCTTCCTCCTGCTCCCGCGCTCCCAGTGCAGGTCAAGGAGTGGACCAGGCAGGTTCTCTCTGCCCTCGCAGCAGGAAGGACCCAGTCAGAGATGAGAGCTCTCACATATGAACACAGGCTGTGGACACCTCCTCTGTCCCACGTGGTGCCAGTCACTGAAGGTGCATTACCCTCAGGAACAGTGACAGTGGGGCATGCCGATGGGCTCAGGCCACTCCGAACTTGGGATTCACAGTGGACAGGCATTAGACTGGGCTTCACATACCGTGTCAGGTTCTTAAGGTTCTGAGGGTCCTGAAATGTATCCTACAAAATGTATCCTACAGAAACACTCCCATAGGTGTGCAGGATACATTTCAGGATTTGTACATGTGAACATTTTACATTTCAGTTGATAATGCCAAATTGTTCTCCAAAGTGCAATCAAATTATATTCCAATTCATATTAGAGTATTGGGCTCCCAACTGATAGGTGGTTTAGTCAGCAGTTCAAAACCACCAGCCACCCCAAGGAAGAAAGACCAGGCTTTCTACTCCCATATTGAGTACAGTCTTGGAAACCCACGGGAGCAGTTTTACTCTGTCCTAGAGGGTCGCTGTAAGTCCATCAGCTTGACGGCAGGGAGTTTGGCGCCTTAACCTCTAATCAACTAGGTCTTATCAGCCCTCTTTAATCTGTGTCAGTCTGGGGAGATGTGGACTCATTTGATTCATTTTGACTAATACAGCGTGGGAGAGAGCCCACCAGTGGGAGCTCAGGGTTCCCAATGCAGCGCCTTCCTAACAAGCCCTGCCAACCACAAAGGACGGCAGTTCACACCCACCTTGCTGCTCCTTGGAGAGCGAGTTAA